GTGTGTGCTTGCGGAACTCCGTACGGTTTATGGTCTCAATTTATGGTCCCGATTTATGGTCCTGATTTATGGTCCCGATTTATGGTCCCGATTTATGGTCTCGATTTATGGTCCGGATTTATGTTCTCTTTGACTTGAAGGGCAAGCATAGGTCTCTGATGACGGTCGAGGAGCGGTGTGAGGCTGCTGAGAAGCGCAGACAATTGGGCAATGAGTTGTTCCAGGAGGGCAAGTTTGAAGAAGCGGCCAAAAAGTATGAGATGGTGAGTTCTCAATTTCATTCACACTTTTTTTTTCCCCCTCTCCCCCCTCCCTTTTTTCTTCCCTTTTCTCGGTCTCCCCTCGCCTCCTCCTCCCTCCCTCCCCTCCCCCTTCTTCCCTTTTTTTTACTCCCTAATGTGTATTGCACCATTTCTCATTTTGTAGATGGGTGTCATTCTTGCACAGGGGCCATTGACTTTTACGATTGATGATCGGTCTTTTATCAATCACTATGCTTGCCTTCATCAGCTTGTTATGGTCACAAGCCCGCTTCATATCTGTGTCTATGGAAACACTCGCTGTATGGGTAGAAAAGCGCTCGTTGATCGATCCAGGGGCGTCCTTTCCTACAGATGGAATTGGTGGAGTGGTTCGGGTGGTGTATAATTTTGGGTGGTTGAGTGCTTAATACTGCTTATAGAATGTATTTACTATTTATACTTGCAAGCGGACGCCGTCCGGGCGGTTCCGCACGTGCGGCAGACTGCCGGACCGGACCCGCGCGGCGCACGAATGTGCGCCAGACGACCAGTTATGCCCCCCCCCCCCAAAAAAAAAAACAAAAAAAAAAACGCCCCCGTCCGGTCCGGTCCGGGGGGAGGGTGCCGCACGCGGCAAAGCGGACCGGACCGGACGCTCGTCCGGTCCGTCTGCTTGCAAGTATGCTATTTACCATTCTGTCTGTTATTTACTATATGTGGTGCCTGATGACTTAGAATGAGAGAAGAGTGTCCCTTGTCGAACGCTTGACATCCAGGATTTTGACTCTGATTCAGACCCATACGGGGGGGGTGAGCTGCTGCGCGCGAACCCTATTTCTATACGTCAAACTCTGCACAGAGCCTTTCAGTGCAAAGCCTTTCTTAGTAACGAAGCCTTCCTCTTGCTTGGATGACAGCTAGTCTCCTTGGTGGATGCGTTTTTTGACTGATGGATAAGGACACACCACATCGCCCATCAGGAGGTTGAACCCCGACGGTCTGCCCAAGATGTATTTGACTGATGGATGGTTGTGTGTGTGTGTGTGTGTGTGTGTGTGTGTGTGTGTGTGTG